ATGGAGCTTTCTTCTTCGAACTATCTGTGTGCCTATGATGCTGCATTGCAGGTCAGCACGCGTTTAGATACACCTAATGGTTTTATACACCCTGGCGGTCAAAAAGTTTAACTTTCGGTGCTGGTGATCGCAGTCGGATGCCGTATTACACTNGCCTGCCGGCTTGTGGCCCCCTCCTGTTCTTTCACCGGCCTACGGACTGGCTACATGTGTGCCTATTGCGGTAAACATACTGCTTAGTTCACTGCATGTTTATTCACCTACTTAAACGGGATACATCACTGGTTATAATGTATTATTTATTCACTTAGCCCCTAAATATGATCGAAGTCCTCGAAGAAAGTACCTCAAACGGATCGCGATACGTGTTCTAAAATTTCGTGTTTGATTGATTTAGCTTATGCACTTTGTACAGATGTTACATCATTCCGATGAACTTTAGTGCTTTGTGTGGATCCCAACTCGAAGTTTTGTTGATTGAGTCCATTTGAATACTGTTGACCAATTCAAAGGGGAACAGAAATAGCCTCCCAGTGGTTAAGTTTGTACACCATCAGTAAAACATTTCTATCGTAAATGATCGCCATCAAGCAGTTCACAACAAGGAAATTTGGAAAAGCTCCGTTTATAAAGAAAAGAACGCCCGTCAACTAATTTACTGTTCTTGGGTACAAGTGACAAAGTAGCATTGCAAGTTTGTGCCCTGGATATCATATGACCAGGTCTTAACCTCTCAACTTTTGTGTTGTGGCGAAATGTTTAAGGTCGATCATGGAGAGAATACCGAGCTACTCCATTGCAGCTACCTCGTGGTGTTGGTTGGTTAAACGTAAAAGGAAGACCTTTGTTTGTCCCAGGTAGTTATTAGCTTGGCTTGCTCATTACTCCTCCTGGAAAACTCAATGTACCAGGTTAGGTCGGAGGAGGTCCAAACCATTATTGAACAATTTTGGGGTACTCCAAGGTACAGTCATTTCCCTATACTTATTTTCTACCTAAATCGATGGCTTGTCATTTCAAATACGCTGACTGTGTGGTTCTATGTCGGGCCATATCTGCTTCTTCTAGTCCTTCACAATTTTCGGATAACTAGAAAACGTTCAACAATTTTCCACCACATTCGGCCTATCTCTTGATCCCTACAATTGTTTTCAACATTTCTTTACATTATCACCTTCTTCTTTCCCATATGAATTAGTAATGATTGGCTCCAAACCAGTATCCGGGGTGAATCGTTATAAATGCCTGTGGTTTTTTATCGGTGCTCATCTTCATTGGACCCATCATATTCAACCTATCGTCAGTCAGTTTCGACGACTTTCTTTTCATATCCTTAAACTTTGTCAGTTTCGTATTTAACAATCGATTATTTCTAAATTCTTGTACCAGTTTGTTTTCTCCGTTTTACTTTATTGTTTACCTGTTGGTTTTTTCATTCTCTTGAAGAAGGACTAAATGGTTTCCGCATGGACTGACCATAACCAGCCGCGTCTTTTCAATTTAGTTAGAGGAGTTGGTGACTAACTTGTGTGAGAGCCGATCCCAGACATCCGCTACACAGATTTAACTTTCGGTTGTTTCCATTTCTCCTCTAGGTCCCCATATCGTTCTGTTCCCTCTCGAATAAACATTTGTCGCAACTCTACGTTACCCTTAATAGCACATATTCCAGTTAACAAAGAACACGTTTTCACAGACGTTGTTAAAAGTTTTGAGATTTTAATCCTTTCTCTCTCTCTAGATTGTACACTTTACAATGAAATCCACTCTTTACGTCCACAGCAGTTTTAATTAAAATTAGCATTACAAAATGATGCGCCTTTACAAAAGCTGTATCGCACGTTCAGCTCCATTATTAATACATAAAAATATTTCCTATTCAATTCTGTCGCAAGGTTAGTTGAATCGTAAACATCGATCCGAGAAACTATCACACCCGAATCCCGCATTACGAAATGAGAAATAAACTGTGACTACGTGGCGTAATTACTTGATGGACGGCTGTTACCCCTTGATCACATTATTTAACCGACAACTGATGACAACGGTACTTGAGCGACAAGCAATGGAAAAATACGATCACTTCATATTCATTTCATATCAGTTGTTGATGGTAATGTGGGATAGGTCTGACCTTGAACCTTAGCCTCAGTCATTTGAACCGACTGAGCTCACATCCGTGTTGATCAAATCTGACTGGACTTCACCGCAGATGAAAACAGGACGGGAAGTTAATGTATTGGTATTCTTTTGTTCGGTGGTGATTCTGTGCATGATTTTACAATGAACTAAACAAATCTGAGAAGGTAAGCTGTCTATTAAAGTGAACACCTAATATCCTCCATTCCGATTCGACCATATTCACTAAAGTGAGAGAAGAACCCAAATGATTTTTCACTCAATGTTTTTAAAAGCATTTGTGGGAGGTAAATCAAAGGTCAGAAATTCAAAACAAACCTCCGGCATGAAGACGGGAGTGAAAATAGTCAGTCAGTCTGTGTGTGTGTGTGTGTGTGTGCGTGTGTACTTGTATATTTTTCTGTGCTCCCGGTAAGAATTTGGGTGATGAAAGCCGAGAAGTTGATGGTTGAAAAAGAATGGTGAAATCAAAGATCGTCCAAGTGATTAAAATAGGAGGCTAGCGGAGCATTTCGAATGACGACCCTCTGTCACAGTGCTGATGCACAGTTGCGTCAACACTGCGCGTGCATGCTAATGTGCTAATGTGCAAGGGAGATTCAAACACACACACACACAGAGGTCACGTGATTGCTGATGAATAATAGTGAGGAAAAGAAAAAAAAACAAGGAGCAAAAGTGACCATAAGGCATCGCGGAGGTTTGGGACAGTGGGGTAAGAATGAAAGGACAGACATATAGAGGGCGAAGACGAACATGAACTTCCTTTCCTTTTGTTATTTTTTACAACCGACAACTGGCCAAAGTCCGAAATCAATACGGTCGATACGTATCGGCTTCTTCGTTG